GCCAATTTATTTTGCACGTTACAAACCGAGGGCTAATAACAAAAGTGCAATTATATTTATACCTAAATGCTATTTAACCGAACGATGTTCATTTTAGGACAAATTTATCCATAATATAACTAAAACTATATGTCGTTTATAAGATATTACAATCCTTTTGCTTTTTTAATTTATAAATAAGAAACACCCTCGGTCTGTAGCCCTTGGCTGAAAAGTTGTTTTGCGCAACTTATCAGATCGTGCGCTTTGAGTGGCGCCACCGTCGTTGCAATCAAACTGTAGTCGTTAGTTTTAAAACATTTTTTTATAATATTTCTAGTGGTGATTGAACCATGAAACTTTTTATGTAGCGTACCTTTAACCTAAATTAACTGAAAATAACCCTAGAACCTAGAGTAAACGATCCCTTTAAAAAAATAAATTCTATACATGTGTTATGACTTATACATAGACATTGTACAATGTTATTATATGCTTTCTACATGTACCATACATATTCTGTAAACGGATCTCTGTTTCTCGTAACTGGGGCTATCGAATAAGCTTAAAAAATCCATTGGGGGTCATTTCGAAAAAAATGACCTACTATGCTTAATGTACGGTGGGTGATACATTGTATAATACAGTAGGAAACCGCGTATAAGAACCTGCATTTTTCCAGGCAAGGATATAACACAATGTGTTGTGTATATCCTTGATTTGTCTAAGTTAGCCTAAAAAGGTTCTTATATAATTGGTGTTTACTTGGAAATTAGGCTTTTAGGTTCTTAAATAGGCTCTTATTTTCGTAAGAAAAAAGGTGCTTGTTGCTGGTAGAATTGCTACCGTCTATTGTTTATATAAAATATGCATATAAATTATGTCTAAATGACTGCAACCTGAATCTAGACAAATACAAATGATATTCTAGGTTATCTTATTTATTTTTTGATATAGTTGATTTAGTGTTAACTGAATTTTATTAAATAAGAACCTGTTTCAAATTTTAGGCTAAAACAGGTTCTTAATTATGTCTTATCACTTATGTCATATTATACGATACGTACGATATATCATACGATGGCATTATATATTATTACATGTACACGTTGCAGGCTTGACGATGTTTCTCAGAGCCATATGTTCGGCGCAGACGATGGAACGCGCAACAGTGAGGAGTACAGCAACTATCTCGGCAAGTACCAAGCCACTTATCCTCATCATATATACATAAATAATACGGAGACGAAATCACAACCGATAAACGTGGGATTATTAATCACAATTTAATCATAAAAATGAATTCAATTTAAAAAAATTAATGCAAAAATTAATGAATCCACAGTCAAATCATGTCATCCAACCATGATAACAAATCTTTCTTTAATGTAGATTTTTTTCTTTTCCTGTTAGCAGAGTCGAGATGCTCCTCTCAGCTGAGTCTGCAGAAGCGGGATGCTGATGATGAGGTAAGGATGGATGGTTGCCGTGGTAGCGAACCCAGCAATCATCGCGTGACGAGTCGTAATCTATGTGACGTTTTGTCTGACGTAGTCTGACATTTTATGTATAATTACACGTTTCATGAGTAAGCGGTGCTTAGTGAGGTTTCATTGCAGAACAAATTCCAGTCGTGTGGTTTTTAGGACCTCTAGCACAGGGACTAATAGCATGAACCAATATACTACTAGCATACTTTGGTTCATGGCATCACTCTATAATTAATCTAAATTAGTCCAGAATTATAGTTATTAGTATAGATATATTACTAGACATGTCCGAGTTAGATTCTTGGAGATCCAATAGAAAATAACTAGGTGACACCCCCCCCCCCATCACACACATCTGCGCTTCACGTAACCGCGGCAACATCGACAATTGACTGCCGCTCCTCCCTCCCACCAGGAGTCGTGGTCGTTGTGCGGGCGCCCGTCTAAGTCTAGTCTGCCGGACGACTGCGTGGCGCTGTGCGTTCACGGGGTGGCGGATCCGGGGCCGGAGATCAGGGAGGAGCTGGTGCAGGTGCTGCAGAACCGGCTGGACGAGGCCGTACTAGACATGGTCACCGTCATGTTCTCACGAAACCCGATGCACAAGCTCACGCCCGAGGATGTGCAGGTACCGCCGATAGTTCACGTCGTTAGTTTGTCGGTTATTAATTTATTAATTTATTAATTTTTTGAAATATTTGTATGTCATTATGCGACCCTATGCGTTAGCTGTTTTATTAATTAATTAATTAATTAATTTAAATATTTGTATGATGTCTTTGTGCAACCCAATGCATTGCTATTTTATTTATTTATTTGTTTATTTATGTTTTTATTTATTTTATTCATACACTCGTTCATCGTCGTGTTGTGTTGTATGTTGCAGTTCATACAGAAGCCTGGGGAGCCGCCTAGCTGCGTGATACAGTTCACGCTGCTCACACACGCCATACCCTACCTGCAGGCCGTGTCACACTACCTGCGCCAGAACCTCATGCAGTTCCTACACACGCCCAAATATGTCGACAACCGACCCGAACACCACTTCCAGGTATTTACGCTGACACGGCACGGCGGGTCTTACGTAAATAATTACGTAGATTAATGAATATGTAAACAAATATATAAATTAAATATATAAATTATATTTGGTGTAAATGTATAATAAAATTATGTTATTTAATATAAATGTATAATTTTTAATTTATTTCAAATTTTTATAGGAGTCAAACCTGTGTTAGATGTCACATTATGTATGTGTGACAGAACAGACATCTATCTATAGGTGACACTTGTCATTTCCCTGTAGTAATCATTGTATACTGGTTTGATGTTATAAATATGTAAATTTCATTAAAAACATAGTGTAAGAGCCACGTCACGTCTACGTAACTTGTAAGAATTATCCACAACTGTCCACTTCTCGATAACAATCGTTCGCTTGTGAGTTAACGTTGCATCGTTATGTCGCCTTTAAGGAGAACGTGACGGCGGAGGATAGAGGAGAGAGAAGTGTGACGCCGTTCACGGAGGGAGACGTGTTTCTCTACAACCGTCCGCCGGCGTCCGGACAGCAAGGTGAGATGCACAAACACACATCCTTTACTTTACCTTACTTAATTTACTTTACTTTACTTGACTTTACTTAATTTACTTTACTTTACTTTACCTTATTTTACTTTACTTTACTTTACTTTACCTTATTTTACTTACTTTACTTAACTTTACATTGCCTTACCTAACCTAACCAAGCCACCCAACGGGACCCCTCTCACCCATCGCCAACCAGCCAACGCCTACCGACTCCCACCTCCTCCAACCAGCCCCCTACCCCCTCCCCTCCCCAACCGGCAGCCACGCCTAACCTCCCTCCCCCTCCCAAATCTCTGCTCACAATCAACGCCGCCACCGGCGGGGTAGGGTAAACCCGGAGGAGGAGGAAAAAGAGAGAATTTGGGGAGGGGAGGAGGTTAGGGTGCTGTTGGGGAGGGGAGGGCTTAAGGGTGCTGGTTGGGAGGGGGAAGGGGTAGGGTGCTGTGGGAGGTGGAGGGTTAGGGGCTGGTTGGGATGGGGTAGGGGGCTGGTTGGGAGGTGGGAGGGGTTAGGGTGGCAGGAAATGTGACGGGAGGAATGACATGGTTGGATTAGGAGAGGGTAGGATAACTGGGACAGGGAGGGGGCAAGAGCAGCTTGGTGGTGTCCTTGCAACAGTCTGAAGTGTCCTTGCAGCACCCTCGGTGCGCACTTTGTCGCCGCTAATTAATGGTGTAACTACGTCGCGCTAACAGTCCATACACGCCTGATTTGATTGATTGATTTGATGATGGTGATTTGTATAGCCTAGATCGTGCAGTGTATTTACATCATAGTGAGATGAGATGTGCTGTGAGAGAGCGTGGCAACCTCCAGAAATGCATTTAACACGCTATTAGCTTACAGGGGGTAAATCTAACATACGTAGCCGCATGCGTAGGGCAATGCAGGACGCGTAAAGGTAGCCTTGAACCCATACGTCACTCATTAACGCGATTGCATGCAAGCCACAGATTTATTCGCATATACAGTCAAACATGTATGTCAAGCGTTCATAGGAGAACAAAGGTGTCCTTATAGAACAGGTGTTCTTCTATAGCAGGTTTCTTCTATAAGAGTTGGTTGACTGTATAACTGCTACTTTCGAGAACCCCCAAATGTGTCCTTATAGAGGTGTCCTCTCACTGAGGTGTATCACGAGGTTGGCTGTACGTTTGGCATGGATTTTATCGCTGAGATCCGACGAAGCAATTGAGAATTATTTAGCTCTGTCTGCACACATAGTTGCAGGTTTGGCTTCCCTTTACGCATGTGGCAGCGGCATCGTGTGTGTCAGGAATGCTTCTTAATGCTTTAACCAAATTTGTTCTAAAACTATTGTACGCACTGCATGTACGTAAATAACCCCGAATAGTGCTTGCTTGCTCACCAGTACTAAACACTCATTCTCTGCTGCATTACGAATACACACGTAGACTATCGTGCGGTTAACGGTTTTGTCTTCGCTAGGCAATCTAAATTGATCGATGTCCCGTGAAAATAGTTTACAATGCTTCGTGATGTGACGTGATTCCCTAACTCCACTACTCGTAATGTATATTTCTGACTCTTCATACTGCATCCAAAAACCGCTGCAGCGCTGAAATTAACGTCGAGTATGGCAGAGGAAGCAAGCGTCGTCCACCAGAGGCAGCACGCTACGAGTCCGGCGACAGGAGGCATAGTCATTAGGTCGAGTCCACAAGGTGGCGGCCAAAGTGGCTTGATTACTGGGTGGAACAAGGTAGAATGTATTTAACACTTATTCAGAACTATATACATTAATTTACACTGTGGATAGCGTTCACATAAGCGATACGTTTCGCTGTAGATCAGTTTCTGTATGTAGCGAATAGCTAACGCGAGATGTCTGGAAGCATGGTTTACTCTGTGTGGCATACGTATTAAGTGTATCCAGTATCAGTATAGTAAATTATATACATAAATAATATATTGTATATATATATAATAGACAACAGCACATTATAGCATGTATGTACGTACCTCCCCCCACGCGTGTGTGTAATGACATTTAGCGCTCTCCCCACGGAGGGGGGGGGGGGGGGGGGGGGGGGGGGGGGGGGCGCGGTGTGTGTAGAGGTGGCCGTCGGCGTCGTCACGCCGTCACGGCTCTCCAACGCAGCACGCCGTAGAGCTGTGGCTGCGGAGTTTTTGTTCCGCCCCCAGGAAACCGGCAAGCCCGGGTCCCCCCCCGTCAAGTCTTCCGACTCGGCCAAAGTGTTCGCGTGAGATGCCAGGCGGCCCCGCCGTCCGCCGCCGCGCCGCGGACGCGGTGGAAGAGCGGCCCGCACCTACGTGCCCTTCCCGCCGCCACAGCCTGTGCTGGTAAAGCCTGCAGACAGCAGCTGTCAACGGGAAGAACAACATTATAATTAATTTGAGAGAACGAAAAAATTTAATGGTGAGCGAAAAAGTCCGCGATGGCGATGTAAACGTGAAATTGGCTTCTCGCCGTAACGATAAAAATGGAAAAATGAGGAAAAATTCGATTGATTCTTTGATAATTGCATCGATATCCGTTTCGTCGGTGAAATATTGTTGTTTGAGAATGATGACGTTTGATAGCGTGGCTGAGTGCGATTTTGTCTCCAGTATCCGAACATGTAACAATGGATGCACTCCAACTCAATGGCCAAATCAGTGGCTAAACTCAAGCATCTGTCGGTTGCATTCTAGGCTTAAACTCACGTCTGCTCTCTCTCATCTGCTCTCTTTCTCTTCCCTCTCTGCTCTCCTCTCTTCTCCTCTCCTCTCTCCGTCGCTCATCTCAGTCTCTTTCTTCCCCCGATGAGTTGCACTCCCTCTCTCTCCCGCCCCTCTTGCCCTCTCCTCTCTCTCTCTCTCGCCTCCTCCCCTCCTCCCCTCTCTTCATCACGGCCTCTCTCTCTCCATCTCTCTCTGCTCTCTCTCTCTCTCTCTCTCTCTCTCTCTCTCTCTCTCTCTCCTCTCGCCTCCTCTCGCTCTCTCTCCTCTCTCTCTCTCTCCTCTCTCCCTCTCCCTCCTCCCTCTCTCTCCTCTCTCTCTCTCTCTCTCTCTATCTCCCTCCCCAGCCTCTCTCTCCTGCTCTCTCTCTCTGGTTCTAGTCTACTGGAGCACGGCAGGATTTGTGGCTGCAATCAGGACGCGCCGCCGTAAGTCAGCCGACGGATAACTACATGTGATGGTCGGGACACGAAGCAAGGCGGGCGGGGTGCCTCGCGCTCATACAGGGAGACGACACGTTCGAGATGCGCGCTAAGCTAACCCGAAAAGTACGCGTCTGCGAGAAATGTCAACGTAACATGTAACACATGAAATCATGTAAGCATGTAACACATGAACATGTAACATGTAACACATGAACATGTAACATGTAACACATGAACATGTAAACATGCTAACACATAAACATGTAAGCAGTAACACATGAAACATGTAACATGCAAAGCATAAACATGTAACGTTAAGTAAATATCTTAATACTAACAGCTAAAGAAATGTAAAGCATGTAACATGTAACACATGATACGTAACCATAAACACGTACACATAACACAATTTTAACACATAACACATAACACATTAACACATAACACATAACAACATTTAACACGTACACATAACACATAACACAATAAACACATTTAACCCGTAACACATTAACACATAACACATAACACATTTAACACGTAACACATAAGCACATAACACATAACCCATTTAACACATACACATAACACATTAACACATAACACATAACACATAACACATAACACATTTAACACGTAACACATAACACATAACACAGTAACACATGAAACACATTTAACAGCATAAACACATAACACATAACACATAACACATAAGACATTGTAACACAATAACACATTACACATAAACCATAAACACATACACATTTAACACAATAACACATAACAAACCATAACACATTTAACACATCAACACATAGTCACATTTAACATCATAAAAATTTAAATATTGAAGTAATTGAGTATATGAGTATATTAGAGGGAAATAATAATAGAGCTACTATTCTATTCACCGTCCTATAGTATGTTACATGTAAACACGTGAAACAACCTCATACCGAGACGTAACATCTCGACGCTGTAGACTGCAGAGTGTTCTGCGCTCCCGATCACTACCTCAACATCTGTGTTGTCGTTCCCAGCCCAGAAAGCCGTACAACTGCTACGCGCCGCTACAAACCCCCGCCCTAGCTGACAGCCAAAGACAACAACAGCAGCAGAGCCGCAGACCGCGTCATCGCATCATCGTCGCTGTCCGACAGCATCGCAGCAACAACGGCGCGAGTTGCTTGATCGTGCCGCAGACAGCGCTGCTCATCCTGACGGTGGCGGGACAAGCAGGTGAGGATTACATGCATGCGGTCGTGCGTTACATAATGTTGTACAGCGTCATACATCATGTTGGTGAACTGACGTGCGCGATCAAGCAGGTGAAGAGATTACCTCATGCTGTCGGCGTTACATCAGTTGTTACGCTCGTACATCATGTTGTTAGGCGTCGTTACATCATGTGGCAACAGTTACATCATGCTGTCGTGCGTACATCATGCTGTGGTGCGTTTACATCAGTGTTGTTACAGCGGTTACATCGCATGGTGGCACACTGCGGCTTGTTGTATGTAATCGTGGCTACTCACACGTTACGTTAATGCCTGTGTAATGTTACATCGTGCTGTACATGTTACTTGTGCTATCACACATTAACATCATGCGCCGTGGCATTAGCATAATGTTGTCCACACTTACATCATGCTGCCGGCATTACATCATCTATCACAACTATTACATCATGCTGCCGTGCATTGCATCACTGCTACAACATTACATCATGTCTAATCACACATTACATCATGATGTCATGCATACATCGCTTGCTAATCACACATTACATCATGATGTCATGCATTACATCATGCTATCACACATTACATCATGCTATCACACATTTACATCATT